AGAAGATCCTGGGTCTGTCGTGCTTGCAACCACAGTCTGGATGGTCAGGGACCGAGGAACTATCCTTGAGCATGAGAATTCTGCCACGAACAGGTGGAAAAGTTCTCTAGGTAGAAATGGAAAAGATTTTGAAAGATCAATTCCATCCATTCACTGATTCAGTAAAAGTTGCTTGCGGGCCAGGGTCTATTCAAGAGCAGGGGTTAGACCACAGAGCCTCCTCCCCTCCTGGTGCGGGGGTTCACGACAGTAAATGGAAGAAAACTTGGAAGTATAACATCACTTTTAAGTTGGGAAGGGGGGAAGATTTTGATGGACTGTCAAATACATTGCAGCTCTTGAATTGTGTGGTATCTATTTTAATGACCTGTTCTCAAGATAATACCTAAACCTTCTCTGACAACTTATTAGTATGTCAGAGAGAGGGGTCAGGTCCATCACAGAGCAGAATAAATTTTCTCTCACCTTGTGGGTCAGCGGTGTGATGTCTGTTGAGTGTATGAACCTTAGTGTGAAAAATTGCTAGCTTTTCATCACGGTATAATTGGTTTCAGTACAACTGGAAGCTATGGTTATAGTTACAGATTTCACACGTGGCCTGCCTGATTACAGCAGCTCCTTCTCTCTGCTGGGAAAGCAGATAATCACGTTATAAAGGAATGGTGTGTAAATGAAGAGTTGACAGGCCCGGACTGAGTTCCTGGAGACTCACCTGTGAAATAAATGCATGAGTTTTAGTGCAAACATTTAGCACTAAATGTTTTGGCCTTTTATATTCATGTTTTGGCCCTTTCTTTATTCCTGGTTCTTGAATAGTAATCATTATAAATTCTTAATAATTTTTGTAGTTTTATAGGCCAGGCCCCAAACGAAATGAATAATCACATTTTAACAATCATGACAACCCTTTAAAGCTGGTATTCTTTTTTATTGGCATTTTAGAGATGAAGAAATAGAGTTGAACCTGAGGACTAGCATGGAGACTTGCATATATTAGGTGCTCTATAAGTATTTGTTTAATTAATAAAGAAATAAAGGAATTGAAGAAGTTAGGTAATTTGCCCACATTCACATACATGGAAAGCAGATTCAGGATAGGACCCATTAGGTCTCACCCATGTTTGTTTAGTTCAATATTCCATTTTCACTTAGACTTTACTCACAATTAGAAAGTATAGTCTTTTTTGTGCAAAATTATATGTGTAAAGAGATGAATGAAAGGATGGTTTTCAAATGTTTCGATTTTAGGTGATTTTTTTTTTCCTTTCTTCTTTATACTTTTAGATTTTAAAAAGAGATTTTGAGCCAAAAACATAATTT